TGTATTTTTGTTCAAATAAATGCAGCCTTGATGAGCAGAAGAGACTTCTTTAAAAAGTCTTACTGATCCCAAACTTTTGAACGGCTGTGTGTGTGTGTGTATATATATATATATATATAAAAACATGGAAACGTTAATGAACAATTTGTCAAAAAAGATAAATTACCTATTGCAATGATGTTTTATGCAAGTATTTGTATGTTTATATATACAAATACTGTAATAAATGTCAAAATGTGCAAACATTGGTTATCATTATTATTTTACATTGGCATAAACTGATGTAGACAGGTTAAGTATTAAATCATGTTTTTGACTTTTTTGTCTCTCTCTCTGTGCATATACAGTATATGTGTGACCCTGGACCACAAAACCAGTCATAAGTGTCAATTTTTCAAAATTGAGCTCTATGGCGGCATAAAAATAAAATAATAAATATATTGTAACATTAGAGTATACTTATATTATATTTTATAATGTAAATATTTTTTATGTTTATAAAAGTTTAAATAAATTTAATTACATATTTAAAAACAATATAAAGTTGTATTTTTAACACTTGAATTTATATCAACATACCGTAATTTTCTAAAAAAAAAACCTTCTCACTATTCTCACTCTTTATTTCTTTATTTCTTCTCTAAATGTTGGGCTGTCAAGTTTCTCCTTTTATCACACGACCGGTCATCCCAGTATAGATGCAACATCTGTATTTCATTGCCGCCGGAGTAATGATAAACACACACTCACAGCTGATCCAAAACCCACATTGCACGGATGGAGGTGAGGGCTGGATATATTACTGTTAAAACACCTTTGAATTTATTTCTTCAGGCCCTGCTGCTTCCCCAGAGAGGCCGGCCCTCAACTCGCTCTGCGGGATTACGGAGGATTTTCAAGGCTGCCTCGTCCTACGCAACCAGATGAAATGTGCAGGCTTGCAGAGACTCGGCAAATGAAACTTCACTAGATCTGTCCGAAGTCACATAGGGTTAAGTTGTGTTGGATGAACAGAAGAATGCTCTTTTCCGTCCTGATTGGTCAGAAACAAGTAGTCCATATGACTCTCTACATCTTCTGAAGTCATAAGATGCTTTGTATGAGGAAGAGATCCAAATTTAAGTCATTATTTACTGACATTTTCCACTGCAGCTGTCAAATCACATTCACACAGATGTTCAGTTCAAATATGACGTGCTAAATGATGACATGGTGATGGGGAAAAAATGCGTTTGCGTTCACTTTCATGTTCTCCTGAAAAACTTTGCATTTGTTGGCAAAACTTTCACACTCCCTCAAGAAATGTTGCGGTTGCTCACAAAAATTTCGCATTTCAAAATTTAGCTTTTGCAAACAAAACTTTCCGCTTCCCCGAGACACTTTGCATTTGCTGGTAAAACTTTCACGTTACATCACGAAACATTGAGTTCACTCACAAAACTTTTAAATTCCCTTAAGAAACTTTGTATCTGCTGGTAAAACATTTGCACTTCTCCGAAATGTTTGCTAGAAAAACTTTTGAATTCTCTTGAAAAACATTGTATTTGCTGGCAAAACTTGTGCGTCTCCAGAGAAATGTCATGTTCACTCGCAAATCTTTTGAATTCCTTTGAAAAACTTTCCCAGAGTAGCATTGCATTTGCGGGCAAAACTTTTACGTCCACCTGAGAAGCATTGCGTTTGCTCGCAAAGCGTTTTTACGTTCCCCAGAGAAACTTTGCATTTGCTGGCAAAATTTTTACATTCTCCGAGAAACATTGCGTTCGCTAGTAAAAAACTAAACAAAAACAATTATATTCCCCTGAGAAACTGCATTTGCTGGCAAAAATTTTACGATTCCAGAGAAACGTTGCATTCACAGGCAAACCTTCTGAATTCTGTCTTCCCCCAAGAAACTTTGCATTTGTTTGCAAAACTTTTACGTTCCCCCAAGAAACAATGTTTGCAGGACTTTATGGTCCCTCGAGAAACATTGCCTTTGTTCGCAAAACTTTTACATTTTTTTTTTTTAGTTTTCTAAAATATTGCGTTGGCTAGCAACATTTTTTTTACATTGCCCTGAGAAACTTTGCATTTGCTGGCATATATTTTCGTTACCCGGAGAAACTTACGCGTGCGTTGCCCTGAAAATGTTGAATTTGCTGCCAAATCTTTTGAGTTTTCCAGAGAAATGTTGCGTTCGCTCACAAAATGTAGACATACCTTAAGAAACTTTGCACTTACTTGCAACAAATGCAAGCATACGGAACATAAAACTTTTGCAAGCGAGAACAAGAAAGCACTAGAATGTAATTTTTTCCCCCCTCTCGATGTCCCTATATGGGCCCCATAGTGTCTTGCATATTATGATGCAACTGAAAGATTAAAATTTGAGAACAACAAAAAAAAAATTACATTTTGGTCTTGATGCACCATATTTAAGTTTGAGCGTCTGTGCACATGAGATTCGAGATGATTTGACATCTCAAAACCATTGTTTTTTTTGTTAAAAAACTTAAGTAACTTGAATAAGCATACGCATAAATCAGATTTCAGAGATTCAGTGGTCAACTTTCAAACAATAACTCGGTCTGCTTTGTGCACAAAGCTATTGTATGACTTTGGAATATAGTGCACGAGTGCTTTTATGGTCTTTCTGGACTTCGAAAGCACTTTTACTGTATGAAATGTTGTGTTTCACAGGTTTGGGACGACATGAGGGTGAGTAAATGATGACAGATTTTTTTTCATTTTTGGTTGAACTGTTCCTTTAAGTGCACAAAGCTTATTTTCTTATGATAATCAGCTCTTTGTTTTCCTAATTCGCCCTCTCCTTTGCTCTTTGTTTCTTTCATTAGCTCTCTCGAGTGTCTTTTCAACGGCTCATCACGGCAGCTTGTCCTTTCTGATTAAAAGCGAATTAAAACAAAAGATTTCTCGGCACGGCGACACGCAAAGGCCTGCTTTAATTAGCAGCACTTTGAACCCCGAGCGTGGCGTTGTTCTCGTCACTACATGAGGGCACAATTGGAGGAGATGTGCGTGCTTGCACGCGCAATCAGCGGGTTCCTCGAGTTCTCTCGTGCGCCTTCATCCGTGCGTGCAAACCGAGCCGAGAGCGCTAACAAATCTAATGACTAATGATGTGCAGGTGTTTGCCACCGATCCGGCCGCTGTAACTGCGCTTCATTTTGCGCTGCAGCGGTTGGCGAGCGCTTGGGGAAAGCTGCTCGTGATTCAGTATGTTTGGCGCGTCGTTTGCGCTGAATGGTGCGTTTGAATGTAATCTGTCTCGGGGGACGAGGGGCCCCGCTAAAACCTGACACGAGAGAGACAGACGTAATCTGAGAGAAAAAAGGCCGTTCCATAAAGCACTACAATGTGCATGGAGATCTCTGCCAGGTTACTGAGGATATCGCGCCACCTGCTGGTGGACAACGAAACTGTCAGTGATTTCAGTGACTCGCGGAAAAATACTTTTATAATATTTTTCTAGTCTAGAGTCTCGACGATACGGAGACAGATTTTTTAATGAATCAGTCTGTATCAAAGGGACTTTTAAGTCATCTAGTATTCATAAATCTCGTGTAAAATGAATCAGAAAGGAACTTTGCATGTACCATAGTAAATGTGAGATATGTGAAAGTTGTGTTGTTTGCTTTTTTAGTAGTATGTGTGCACTGTAAAAAAAAAAAAAAACAATAGGGCACAATGTACTGTATTAATATGAAGCAATATTTTTACAGGTGTTTGTCTGTATTTTTAAATTTTGCACTCAATTCCATTGTGTTTCTGGGTTAAAAGAAATGTCCATAAAATGACTGGACAATGTCCTGGCAGAAAATTACCAGCAGCGGTGGAATGTCCAGGTTTAGAAAGTAAAAGTCCTCCTCAGTATTTTGTTCCAATCACCTATATATGCTAATTAGCACAGTTTTCCAGTCAGGAGGTAGAACTAATTAGTGAAATCAGCTGGCTGAGTTCATGAGTGGAATAAACATATTTATTCATATGGCAGGAATTTTACTTTCTGACCCCTGGACTTTCCACCTCGTATTACCAGTACAATTTCCTTTTTGTTTTAAAACATAAAAGTGCATTGGTTAGCATGCACATTGGTTTATGAGTATACAAGTGAATACAAATTTCAGCTAAATTAGACTTAAATTCAGTTTTGTCTAGCCAGTATTGTACAATATTGACCTCTGCACATACTTTGCCCTCTACTGGTTACTACAAAAACAACAAAAAAACCTAACTAAACAACATTACCATGGAACAACTGTTTTTATATATATATATATTAGCATGACACATTCCAAATATCCTGTTACCATGGTATTGTGTAGTTTTGTAAGTATTGTTTAGTATCATTGGTTAGTTTACTAGCTTTGTAAGTGAAGATACGTTTATGAGGGTAATTGGTGCTAATATTTGACATCTATTTATATGGTGATGCTTTACAAGCATAAACATGTTAAACCTAATTGAGATAGCTAATGCACGTCTGGTTGTCTACAGTTTTTTTTCTGGAAGAATTGATTTTTATTATCAAGCTAAATGCCTATTATTTATTATTTCTCCTAAATATTAAATTTCTTCACGTTTCCAGGTACCTTCTGAGATGATTCAGCTCTTCTATGTTACTCGCAGGAATTTTGGTAGGATATTAGTGGTGTGTCTGTGTGTGTTTGGTATCTAATATACTGAAGATTAGCAGCCTGACAGCTGCATAATTTGCTCATTCACATCCCCACT